TAAAGTTATTTGTTTTTTAATATACAATGTCGTTCATTATAAAATAGGCAACTTTATTATCTTCTGTTATATTGGTACCGTAAACAAAACTATATTGGAAAATGTTACATCATTTTAAATAAAATATTTAGTTCTATTGCAAAAATAAGTTCCATTCACTTTTTTAGAAACAGTTTTTAAATAATATTTCTCTATTGTTACTAATCAACACTGTTCGATCATTTATTAGTTGATCTAGATATTTTACATAATGTTTTATTGGAAAAATATATTCTTTCCATCGTAGGTGGAATTTCTTTATGACTAAACCGAATCATTTGTAGAATGAACGTTTGTCATAGTTCTTGCTACATTTATACAAAACACAATATTGCAAAAAACATACTAATAATCGCCATAATGTTTAAAAAGAGACCTTTCAATGCATTTTATATTGTACTGTACTATTGTTTATAAAATGAAGCTACACAGGTGAATTGTGAATTCTACATTGATTAAAACATTTCCACCAAATAACGGTATGGGTTTGGTAACACTATTAATTCTTGACAAAATTGATTTTTGTTCCATTGAATTCAGTATAAAGAACCATGCGGAAATGCATAACTTTCGTGATTTCATTTAAATTTGAATCTTCTAAAAGAACATTTTTCTAAATATTACCCCAACGAAGATATTAAAGTTTACTTCCGATAGACTACTCTGTAAATATAACTCAGAAACGCTTAAAAGGTCGAGAATATTCGAGAAAAAATCCAAGTTCATTGATCACCGAATAAATATGGCTTCAAACTTTGGAGCGACAGTGCGTATAAGTTCAGACGCATTCGTTGCTTCCTAGTGCAGAAATAACCGAGTATTTATCAGCCACCGATTTCAGACGTTCTGATGGCTGATAATAAAGTACAAAGTGAAAGATAACGCACAGCATGAAGATCGGGCATATGTAAATAAATTGACTAAGCAGCTGCTCGTTGCTTAATCAAAAACAGAGATGAGCGGAAATTTCAATTAAATACGAGATAAAACAGTTTCTATGCGAGTAATGATAAATTATTGTAATTATAGAGTAAGGTATACACTATGTTGGTGCAGATGAAACGTCGTCTTTGTGCCAATAATTTGCGGTGTAATAACTTAACTTGTCAATGATGTTTAATTAGTCAGTTTTCATTTATTTAACGACGTTTCGAATTGTAATCACTTCAGTTAACAGTGATACATATAATTACTTCGACATTTTCAATTCACTCACGTGCATTTTTAAATGTAACAACTCACGTTATTAATGGTATATTTAAATTCTCATTATTAATTTACTCAATATGATTTTGAAATATCGTAATTGAAGTTACCAATAATATCCACTTGTTCATTTTTAATTTACTCAATTGCATTTTGAAATGTATTACGTATACCAATAAATATAATTTACTATTTCTCGTGTGAAATCGGTATTTGTTTATCAGAAAATTAAATGCTAATGCTAACAATAAATAAATGATTTTTCTTATCGTTAACATATTAATGTTAATAAATTCATCATTTTTTGCACAATACTGCAAATAACAGTGTTTTCTAAAGTTCGTATGTAAAGTTTGAAAGAAAATAAAATTAAGATCTAACTTTATTGTATAATCATCTAAAGTTTCATGTATGAAGAATGATACAGTTATATTAGTTGTCAGTTTAAACAGTATGTAAAATCACAGAGGAACTATTAGAATTAAAAATAGATTGACTCTAAATGAGTGGCACACACATAGTCACTTTTCGAGCATTGCTTCATAACTACTTTATACATGTATTCGACGTATTTTTTAAATATCGCTGCCATTTTAATTGATTTTTCACGATTTTTAAAATTTTACACTCATGTAGAATATTACACATATTTCATATTCTACGTAATTTATTTATCATATTCGCTTTAGAATACGAATTCAGTGGTTTAGAGGGCTGTAAGTCAGTTGTTACAGTTTTGTTAAAAAAGAAAATGAACAAGATGAAGATAAATAATTTATATTTAATGTTTTAGAGAATTATCATCCATTCGTTTAGGGCATCAGAATAATTCCTATTATATATTTGCTAATTTTATTCTGAGCTCATCTTTTAATGCCCTGGCTTTATACCAATTGTTAAATTGCGAATTCATACTGTAACATGAAGTATTTCAAATACAAACAATTTTGGGACAAATGTTCAATTTTCTGTAATTTTTCGGTATGCAACAAATTTGTAAACTTTACAACAGTCATTTAGAATCGGAAAATATAAAAAAACAATTAGGTACCTACTTGTTAGAGTCTTGATGAAATAAAAGTACCATTTCACGTGTAACAAACTAATACTCCATGTTGTAAAATTAAATATTATGTATGCAATATGGCAGTTTAAACAAGAAGATTAATAAATACCTACATACTTACTATTTTCTACTCATCTCTGTTCCTGAATACATACATGACTAGACATAAAATAAGCGAGTAGAAACATTTTTCTCTATTTTCTAATAACAATTACCAACCCTATAACCAGCTAATCATTTAAACAAAACTTGGCGAATTGTTGTAATTCAATTTCAGAAAGTAATTTTTATACTTTCATTTGGTTAACAACATTCTTCCTTTATCAAAATGTATACGTATTGGTTTCATTCAATGTTTCACTAACCTGTATCATTCCTGTTAATAAAAAAGCAACTTATAATATAGAGTATTTTAATTCCATCTGACAGAAAAAATAATATTGCACTGGTACTGGAATTAAGTACATGTAGTAAAATAACCCTGTGTATAATAAAACTATTTAAAAATGTATTTAATAGTTCTCAGTATCTTTTCCTTTTCTTCTTTCCCCTCATATTTAATTCATCGTACTTTTATTCAATTCTGTCAATTCCGTGGTCACCATTCTAATTTCCATAAGACAATTCTATAAATAATTGCTATTCTCTCCGCTACACACCAAAAACGTAATCAATTACAAGTTTATCACATTTAAAATAATCCTATAATACTACATAATATTTACATTCACTGTATAATAAATTTCATAAACATCGCCGACCAATAAGTACACCCAGTCAGACTAACCTGGAATGCCAAATTTTATCCAATGCCTGTTTCAAAGTTATGGCTACAAGTTTGATGCAGGATTTGCTATAAACACCTTGCGCGCACATTGGCAGCAATATAGGCAGCAAATTGGCAGCAACATATGCAGCAAATTGGCTTGCGCAAACCTTGTCCCGGTTTTTTCCTCAATTTGACATAATTCATGCTGCAAGATTTTCTGCCAATTTGCTTTACCATTTTGTCAACTGACGTTGCCTGCAGAACCAAAGTCAAATGTGGAAACAGATGGCTATGGTTTTTTAGATAACTTCTGTCATTTATTGCTGGCAATTCGCTCGAAACTTGTAACACAACTGGTTATCAGGGCAGTTACCACCATTGTATACAAAGTGCAACTATAAGAATTAAACAACAATTAACAAATAACGATCGAAATCGGACAAATTAGAAGTGTTCTCTTCGCACTCATCCTTTTTTCAATTTTGCTATTTTATAGCTTGCGATTACTTTTTGGAAGTCGAAGAAACGTTACACAATAAGAAAACAATTAACAATTCCACTGTCTATTTTTTAGTCTTAACACTTAATTAATCGAACCGGTACCTATATACCTCCTTCATGATTTATTTAAATTTTTGGCGTTTCAATTATATTTTGTCGCTCGCAATCTTATAAAGTTTGTTGGAGTTTAAGGTAATAGTGAATGTTCAGATTAAATATGATTTCTACAGGGTGTTTCATATTAGTGGCAAATTTTTGTAAAAATGACACATTGACTTCCGAACCAAATTGTCACTAATCTCACTAATCGACACAGATATAACTTCCACCGCATATGGTGAAAGTTCAACGAAGAATAAGTAAAGCATAGTAATGGTACAAATTTTCAAGTTGAACAACAACAGTCTTGTAAACGGTGAAAAATACAGTAATAATTTGAAATATTGAAACCAGTCATAAATAACTCTGATTTCCACTTTTTTAAAATTTGTTTCCGTACTAGATAATTGACAATTAATCTTTACTGCTATATTCTTTATTATCATTTGACACACTAAAAAACTGGAAATGTAAGTTACTTGTGATTGGAGCCAATATTTTAAACCATTAATACATTATCAACTATTTACAAAATTTTAACTTTTATTATTTAGGAATTGACCATCTTCTTCGTTGAAATCGATAACGTCGATTAATGGTTGACACCCACACTAGTCGAACTGTCAAGCCACAATAATTTTTTTAATCGTTCAGAGAAAATTCGGAAAATTCTTGACGTTACACTCCCATCAGCAAGTATTGGAATACTTTCTATGCTCGAAATGAATTCGATACTTCCGCAGAATTACGTATTATACACTACTTTCGTTACCTCCCAGTAACACAGACATATGTATATCGATTCTAAGCAGTGGTGCTTAATCGAAAATAATTATTTCAGGGCTTCAATAACTTCGGAATGTTTTTCCATACCTCCTACATATTCTATGGTACCTAATACTTTTGAATGGGAGTGTACCCATGACACCCTGTATACATCCCTTCGAATATCTTCGAGGCTAGTTTTTCATGTAGCAACCTACGATGATTTCAGTACACCAGCACGATCCAGCTTTTGCGCAGGCGCTGAGGACGAGGCTATGGCGACAGAGCTTAGCATGGAGGGGGCTCTGAACACATTGCCATTTTACTCCCCTACAGTCCCGCCCATGGCAATATAGTTAGAGTCGATTGTACGTTAAATTACTTACCCTCCGAAACCACTCAACTTTTGTTTTAAACATTTTTCCCTATCATCAACGGTTTCGAAGATATTCGAGGGGGTTGATTTAAATGACTCGCTTCTGCATAAAAGATAGACAGGCGAATCTATCGATTGTTTAGGAATTAATAATAATTTAGGAAATGCGAAGTGTTAAAACTTAGGCTAAAGAATCTTTTTCACGTTCCATTTCGATCGGACCCTTGCCCCAAATTTTCCGATTCTTCGTGTATGGGATAAGCCCGACTAAAAGTCCAGATAGGACGATCCAGCCGCCGGCCATGTGGAATGACAGGTCCCACGAGTTCGTTACGTCGAACAACCAACCGGCCAGTGGCGGCCCAAGAAGATTCCCTATACCTTGACAGAGTAGACTGAGCCCGTAGGCAGTTGTGAATCTCTCCAGTGGTATCAATTCGACGAGTATGACTGGAGTAAAGCTAAAGCTACTCGCGAAGAACAGACCGAACGCAGCCGAGGCAGCCATCAACAAGTTGTAGTAAGGTGTTAATATTGACATTAAAGCCGTGGCTATGCCACAAGCAATCAGGCACCAAGTGTACGTTTTGCTGACATTCATCCAGGGTTGATCTCCAGCCCAGCCAAGACCAATCTGTGAACAGTATCGAATGAATTGAAACAGTATCGAATGAAAAAGTTATAACAGGCAGTCGTTAAGATGTTAGGTCACCTTGGATGAGTCAAAGTCATGCACATTTTCGGCAATTTTTTTGGGGGAGATAGTGAAATACAGACTCCTCTCGATTAGTGTCTGGCTTGTTTTACACGATTATTGTCAAGGTGTTATCCCCACCATTGGAGGACGTGGAACATGTCATACTTTGTTGTCCCTCCACTTTTGTTACCGAGGCTCGGGCATCGGACAAAAAACGAATTTACGAGGGTCTGAAGCATTTCTCCCTCTAAGATTATTGTCCAGGCGCGGACCCGAGTTCGGGACAATAATCGAGAGGAATCTGTAAATGGAAAACTCAATACAAAACCTTTTATTGTAGGTACAACTTTCGGCGGAAAAAGTCGTACTTTTCCGACATCTTTTCGAGCAACGTTCTCCAAGCCGTTGAACCTCACGGCTATACCGTTTGATCTAGAACAAAAAACCGAAGATTTTTATTTTCTACATGCCAAAAACTAAAGAAATACCTACGGATTTTCGGGAACACTCATTTGTGTCGAAATGGGAAACATATGAAGAAAGAACATTCTATTCGGAAAAACTTTCATATAAAAATGTCAATTGTTAAAAATTTGTTTAAGATCTTGCAAAATTCATAGGTTTTTCTGTCTTTAGTTTTTGGCATGTAGAAAATAAAAATCTTTGGTTTTTGCGCTAGATCAAACGGTGCAGTCGTGAAATCGAATGCCTTCGTTCGAAAAGATGTTTGCGTATCTCGGTTCCAGCACCTCCATTTTAGACGAAAAAATAACCAAAAAATACGACTCCTTCGAAAAATACGAATTTTCCATTTATTTCATTATCTTCCCGAAAAAATTGTTGAAATTGAGTGCCACTTATCCAAGGTGGCCTAAACCCTTAACATGTAATTAGTCGCATAGGGTCGTTGCATTTTCGAAATGAGAAAAGATGTGATTTTATTAAACAGAACGCGTCGGCACCATTGCTAGCTTCTTAATTTGTGTAAAATTTCACATTGTTGTCCCAATCGAAACGTTACCTCGTGCGCAATTGTCGTTTTGCTCTCTTGAATTAGGACCCATGAATGTTCTGTCGTAGAAAAGATGACAGAAAGTAACGATTAAATGCAACAAATGTAAAAAAAATTTATCTTCAGCAATCACTTCGCTATTCACTGCAAAGTATGCGAAGACTGTGATTCATCTTGTTCATCTGATTAGTTGTTTTTTTAACAATTGATTTCTTTATATGCCAAAATACGATCATTTCAGAGGACTTTTGGTAATTATGCACAACAGGGGACTCCTCACCGATTTGGATGGCCTTGAAATATGTTGTCAAGGTCAACATTCTGAACAACTTTTCCCTATACTATGTATATGTAACCGCCGCTTGGTTTTAATTTTCGAGATATTCGCGAAAAACTGCTGTTTCTATTAGGGGAAAGGTGTCTAAAACGATCCCTCGGGGTAAAATGATTCCTGGCTGCCCTTTGGCTGTTAGTGGTGCTATATCGTAATGTCATTCTACAATACTTCTCCTCGTACGTCACTAAACGTTGCTCGAAGTGCCATGTGGATAGTAGAATAAAATGATCCCAGGAATCATTTTACCCATATGGGATGTTATTGCTTTTTGTTTTAGTTACAACAATGCCCCGTCAGTATGAAAGAAACACAACGCGTCAAAGCTGTTTTTATTTAAATAAAATGTAAGAAATGAAATGCTTTTTAATGTTCGTCGTATTTACTATCAGCAGATATAAATGACCCCCGGGGATCATTTTATACGCATACATTACAAAATGATCCTTAAGTATGTCTTCAAAGAAATGTGAATAAGAAATATAATTGATCAGGTAGCTAAATTTTATTTAAGCCAATGATAAGATAGATAAACTAACTTACAAAAACTACTTTACTTTTATTTAAATAATGAGCATTTGTATTTTTTATATAAATTACGCCTTACAGGGACCGTTTTAGACACGTTTTCCCTACAATGCATTTTGCATATACCTAGGCGTTCAGTAGGGGACAAAAGTTTCGTACATCCTTTAAAATGGAACAACTTTTTTCAAATTGATCCAAGTGACTTGAGTTCTTTTGTGAAGTTAGGAACGTTAGTTTACTAACTGATTCATAATTTTGTACAATAATTTACTTCGGGCTTGATCCAGTTCCGTCATAGTGAAACGGTTCAGTACTATAAAAAAAAAAAAGATTGAATTACCATTCCGATCGTGTTGGTGATGCCAATAATACTAAGGAGATTCGCAGCGTCGGATTCGGAGTAACTGTTCCTAGTTAGATGCTCGGCAAGGTAGAAGTAAGGCACGATAAACCAAGTGAACAACAAGATCGTTGACAGTGACAGTAATAAAAAATGTAGTTCCAGGAACATCGAGAAGTCCATCATGCCCTTCAGTAATTCCAACAATTCGCCATACCATTTCTAGGAATAGAAAGAGTTACATCGAATAATAAATAAATTCTTTAACACTAGAACTACCAAACCCATCAAAATGACAGATTGCAAATTTCTTACTTTACGATTACTGGAATTATAATAGTGTTTTTGGTGGATTTTACAGTGATTTTTAATTACCTATAGATTTTATGTTACATCATACTAAATTGCCCTGTAGATTATGTATATTATTATGTTTAACCATTTGTGTAATTTTGTATACATTCAATGCTGGTAATTCTAGTGTTTGACTTGGTTTAAACTTCTTACGAGTATAACGTGGGACTTGCGATCAGTACCGCAAAATGGATAGGGTAACTGCATCTAATATCGCCACTGGTTATATCTCGTGGAGAAAATCCTAAAATCTGTTGATAATGAACTAAACTAGTGGGCAAAGAATGTGTAATAAAACATATTATGGTTGCAACGTCATATGGGCAACGTGTAGTAAAATGAGTGTAATAATTGATTGATCCGTGAAAGTTTTACGTCACGTTCAAAGAAGGCAGGTTTGAAAATTCTATGAATGCATAACTATTTATTGGGAGCATCTAATTCAGAGCTGCACAATTTCTGCTCCGGGAGTCAATGTTCCATTCCGGGGGCGATTTTGATGAAACTTCGTATGTCTGTTAAACAGTCAAAAATAAGGGATACGTATTTTTTTTTATCGGTTGAGACGGGACTTTAAGGGGTGAAACCACCCCTCGAAGTTTCGATCCGAAAGTACTATCCCGAAAACCGGAGGAGATACATGAAAACTTCTAATGAACGAGGTTTGCGGTTTTTTGTGTAGAATAATGTGGTGCTAACAAATTGTCCAAAATATAATTTGTTTATAACAAAAAAATTTGGGATCGAAACTTCAAAGGGTGGTTTTACCCTTTAAAGTTGAGTCTCAGCCGATAAAAAAAAATACGTATCCCTTATTTTTGACTGCTTAAGAGACATATGAAGTTTCATCAAAATTGGAGGGGGGCACTTCCGTGCCTTCCCTTGTTAGGCCTACTGTTCACTAAGGCCTACAGCTAGGGATGTTCGACTCCGATTCGATTCTTTGTATTAAATTTTTAAAGAAATCGATTTTCCATGATTCGATTCAGAATTGTTTTGAGAATCGATTCATTGAAGAAAATCGAACATCCCTACCTACAGCATGCCCCCCCCCCCTAGCATGCGACGCTCTGTACATAGCGGACGAGGCAGCTTGAGTCGCGTAGTGGGGTGCCGACTCCGGGTGCAAAAGTTATGCAGCTCTAATCTAATTAATGACATACTTCAGTAATTTAATCGGTTCCAATGTTTTTCTTAAAAGAAAGTTTTTTTTGTGTAATGGCCATCGTCCACTCATTTTCAGTAACAGCCTACTTTTTAGTGTAGATGGGACAAGAAATTTGCAAAGGTACAGAGCTGAACTGTGTCAGAGCTCAACTGTGAGAATCACTTAAAAGTGATCGTTTCAAAAAATAGTGTATAATAATAATAAATATTTTAAAACTCTGTTTCTTTATTTTTGGTAATAAAGACATTTATTAAACATAATCCCATTAAAAAAAATTTGTCAAAAGTCCTCGAAAATAACCATATGGTTAAAAATAATAAGCACACGTATAAATATGTATAACTTTAGAACCTCATAGATACATGAATTAAACAATATTTTCAAGTAGGCGATATTAGCGCACCTTTCACAGTTTTTTTTTCCAATAGTGATTGAAAATCTTTAGATGTTAACAGTTCCAACCTTACGTACATGAGGCACAAATAATTTCTTTTTTATCTAAGACTAAGTAGATAAAAAAATATCAAATAGTTTGTAATTGAGAACGATTTGAATTTAGGTAGGCGATATTAGATGTGCTTATCCCACATTTTGGATACATAATTAAGTTATTATTCTTGGGTTCGAGATGAAAGTACGCCGGTTGCATTACTTCAACTCCAATATAAACAATTAAATAACTATAATATTTCCAATATATACTAATAAAACAAATTGAATTTTTAACTTCAATCGTTATGACACCTTTCACCCCGTAGATATGTATAACTGCTGAAAAAACACTGCAAGTAAAATTTTGTCCAGGAACTGCTTTTTATTTAAGTTCCATGAAAATTAGCGTGCGCCAGTTGCATAATCTCCTGGTTAGAAGCAGAGATCGAAAAAATACGGGGTGTTGTTAAATATGTAGGATACTTTCACAGAATGGATTTCAAACGTCAAAATAATGAGCAAAGGTTCTATTCTTTACTTCCTAAAGTGTTCAGCCGAAGCACCCGTAGGAAACAACTTTTGCAGATCAAATTCACCCTTTTACAGACCAAATTCAACCTTTTGGAAATAACGAACTATCCCCTTGAATATCTTCCGGTCGATGGCGGTCAATTGACTTTTAATAAAGCGGATTGTTCTGTTCGTCAGCCGAACATTTTTAACACATTAAAAAATTGTGTATATGTACAAGATATCTAAAAAATGAAATGATATCGAAAATTATTTTCACGTTTAGAATCGCACCAATAAAAATGTTCCTTATTTTTATTAACACCCAGTGTATGTAAAAGACGAAGTTCAGAATGCAGTAAAGTGGCTATTATTACATACATATAACTCATTCATTCGTTATTCCGTACAAACAGACTTGTCTAGAATACTATAGCATGAAATATTTCGTCCTTTTATAATCACAAATCCTTTGTTCGATCAATGTATAACGACTAACAGGTTTCCTATTTTTTTCCCATCATACGAAAAGTTTTACCTAGATAATGGATTTACTTATTTCTCCTTCGAAACTCTTCATTAGGCTGCGGATATTCATGCAAATTGACATTTTTGGGAATAAAGTTTCAAACACATATGTTAAACGCAGACTCAGTTCTTTTATTGGAGACTTCATTAAACTCATAAGAACCTGAAAACTTCGTGAAATATTATTTCCATCTTTATTTGATTTTATTTTACACATTTATGCACGTACGCTATGAATTCATAAATGTCCGCAGTCTAATCGTTATTGAAATTCATGAAATTATCCAATAAACAATCGTATATCGCACCTCCTCGTTCTCTTTTGCCAACGTAGTCATACTGTTTCTATAAATATCTGGACAGCTACTGGCCCTTAATCTGTATTTGTGCAAGTTTAAGGCTGCGCCGCGGTACATAACAGAATTCCTGTGAACCCTGATATCCTTGAAGTAATGTGTATTTGTGTTGAACTGCCTCCTCAACCATGGCAACGAGTCCGTTCTAACAACGCCACAATTCAGATCTCCTATGCGTTGTTTAGATACCGATTTCCCCTTCCTCGTTTCAGTTGTCTGAAACAGTTACGAAGTAAATGTGACAAGTGCAAGTGTATCTAATAACAAAAAGAACTAAATTACGTACACCGCCGTCCAGAAGTCACAGGATACTTGATTGTTTTTAGACACATGAAAATCGAAACAGAAACGCAATTTCAATAATTAATCTGTTTTTCCGTAACATAATAATATTTAACATACAAACACTTAACACTAATAACACTGTTCAAAAAATTTGAATTTTTTGTCGTTTTTGTAACCTCTAATAAACGTTTCTGATAGATTTTCATGAGCTGAATACGAATCTGCAAACCGTTTCTGTCCAGCACGTCCAGTTTTGGAAAAAATTAATTTTTTTTTAAATTGCAAATTTTCAACTTTGGCACTGTGTTGTGCTTTTACAGTACTACTTATGCAATTTCTTTTGCACGGAATAATTCTCTGAATTCTTCCGAACAAAATGATATAAATTATTATTATATCTAGATGCCTATAATATAATAATTTATATCATATTGTTCGGAAGAGTCCAGAGAATTACTTCAGGCAAAAGAAATTGCACAACTAGTACTGTAAAAGCACAACACAGTTCCAAAGTTGAAAATTGGTAATTTAAAAAAAAATTAATTTTTTGAAAAACTGGACGTGCTGGATAGAAACGGTTTGCAGATTCGTATTCAGCTCATAAAGTTCTATCAGATGCGCTTATTGAAAAGTGCACAAATTTGTAGGTGTTGAACTGTGTAATGTAACACTTAAACAGTTTGATGTCTGAGCATTGAACGAATACATATTAACAGCAGAGAAAGATTTTTGAACTTTATTAGTACACTATTAGTTTGTTAGTTTATTTTTAGTTCATTAATGTTAATGTTTAGTTTTTTAATACGTTATTATTTGTTCGTTATAAAATATCGATATTTATTGCGGTTTTTGGTAATATATCGGTTTCGGTAATATCTGAACTTACCATGTATATTATAGAAAAACCGAAAAAATACCGCTATTTATTTCGGTTTTTGGTAATATATCGGTTTTACTACAGCTTTCCTGCCATAATACCGGTATTAAGTTTCTGAGGGAAACAGGGTCAAGCGTTTTTCTATTTTACATGACCATGTGCCTGAATCGTAGGAGTTCCCACATTTCAATATAACTCTCATTGTTAACTGATCCGACTCAATGTTTTACAATAAATGATTTGTATTATTATAATTATTATGTCTACATTTGGAACACTTGCTGAACAACGGCTTCTCTAAAAATTCCCTACGATATCTAACATTTCTAACTGTATAATGTGTTTACTTACCGTATGTTCGAGTTCTTTCGCTAATAAAGGATTAGCCTCTTCAGATTCTTTTTTTGATATCTTTTTAGTAATGTGATTTTTCGCAGAACCAGATGCAGGTCCCAAATGAACGTGATTTGTTGCATGCGTATTGTCACATTTTGGTTCATCGTTCGCTTGCTTGATCCTTTTAATGGAAAAAGGAAAATTAAAATTTGAACCTCGACTCTTTGTAATTGTTCAATTTGTCATTACTAATCTAATCATAAATCGAAAGTCAAATATGAAGTTTTCTGGTTCGAGGCTTTTTTTTTAGAAAAGTTAGAGTTTTAAAAAGTGTCTGTCCACTACTAATTACTTTTGTTTATAATAATGTTATATTGGTAGTAAATAATTTACTACCAATACTAGTGTTATTTATACTAGTAATATTAATAGTGAAATAATCTGATTAATTTTTCACAATAATTTAATATAAACCAATAAAAGATTTGGCGGCTGTGATGGCTGGAGGCGTGAAAAGGAAAGAAGAGACAGAATTTCGTCCTGGTTCTGCTAGTGGACTCGTCAGTAAGTCTACATAGCAGACCCAGCCTTAGACGTGGGGATATTCCATGGTTGGTTAAGGACGTATACATACAAACAAGGAAGGATTCAGGTAAGGTAAATGTCCCTATTTCTAATCACGTCCCTATTTCTGATCAGTACGTATATTTTTTATTTAATGTAAAAAGTTAAATAATACGTTGGTTATACAAAAAATTATTTAAATTAGTTCAGTATTTCCGTACAAAATGCTACAGCCCACATTTCAATAGACGGCAGCATTTTAATAGAAATAAATTTAATAAGTTTGTCCGTCGTAAAGAAACGTGGTTTGAGCGATCGTGTGTTACACGTGGACACTCCGTTTTTACTAAAAGAAACTTATGGAATCTTTAATATTGTTCGCCAAAGTTTGGTTTTGGTACTTCCATTTTTGCTGAGTAGAGAAAGGGACACGCTCATGAGCAGAAATGCGAGCATTCTCATTTTTGCTGAACAGAAATAGGGACATTTTATACTTCATATTAAATTAACTATTATTAAGTTAAAATGTTGTTAAAAATACTTTTATTTAAATTTAATTATAAAGGGAGATTTAAATGTTATATCTAATAAGTTTTTTTGTTCATTGTTGGTTAGCAGTTCGATAGCAAAACTCTTACATGATTAGAAATAGAGACATTGACCTTAGTTGCATGAAAGGTCTCAACTCGGTAGACCTCTAAAGGCGAATGTAGGGAGGTAGTGCCGCCACAAAGATATATAAAAAGTTGCAACAAAAAACAATTGCAATTGCAAAAGTTTTAAGTAAATGGTTAAAAGATATCTTTTTTTATCTGAAATAATTTTTATTTGGTACTCTTATGTCTCCACTGTAAGCACCCGCAAAACTCATTTTAATCAGTTTGTTAGTTCAATAGTTATGATTTATTGAAAAAAGGTTGACCCTAAATTTCAAACAGCTGTAAAATCTACAATTTTTAAAATTTTCAAAAATCCTTCGAGATACGTTTATATATCGATAAAGAGTACAACATATCCAAATTGGAACAAAATTCGAAATAGTGCTCCAAAAGGTGTCCGATTTCGCGTGGAATGACCCCTTGTCAATGTATGTACATCATTTTTATTAGAAACACCGATCGAATACTTTTTGCCAGGTGCAGTATTAGTATAAATGTACAACCTCATCGACATTGTGACGACGCACATTTTGTCCGAACAACTTCTACACGACAGAAGATTCGGATAGTTCTCCAAAATGACCTTGTACAGCCTCGGATTACTGGAAAGTAATTCCAACACTTCCACGGGTACCTGTTATTTCCAAAAATAGTTATACGATTGTGTAGCATTTTTATGCAATATTAGACACCCTATATATTTTGTTGCGTTAATTCGTTTCGTTCAAAGTACTATTCCAACGGTAAAATATGTGAGAAAAACGTAGGAAAATTTTCTTCGTTAGTGTTGTTATGAAATTTGGCAGCGTGAAGAAAAAAATTGTCAAGATTGTATAAATGTCGTATGATGTCATATTCAATTAGTATTTTTCAAAGGGTCATTCTACTTGGACAGCCGAAAAATTAGGCTATCTTTAGAGATTTTTTTAGTTAGTAGGATTTATGGAACTTCTTATGAATAATATTAATAAGTTGCAAAACTAATTTTATTACATTTTGTTTTCTGTTTCCTTGAGCATGTAAATGACATCTTAACAGGTATCTTCATGGTACAGGTGATTTCTTAGTTCAGACTTATATGAAAGAAAAAATCCAAGATGATTCTTAATTAGTATGAGTGTCGCTATCGCGGGAAGCACAGTTACGTTTATATATTTAATTTATCATACTGTTTACAAAACAAAATCACCGAAAAAAAGCTTTTCTTTAATATTTATAATGGATTGACGCCAAGTTTGTTATTTTTTAAGATTAATTATTTATTGTGTTTTCTGCGATAGCAACACTCATATTAATTAAGAATCATCTTGGATTTTTTCTTTCAGATAAGTCTGAGCTAAGAAATCACCTGTACTATGGAAATACCTTTTGAGATGTCATTTACATGCTAAGAAAAAACTTAAAAAAAAATATAATAAAAACATTTTTGATATTATTTCTTAGTAGTTCTGTAAATAATAAAAAGGTGCGTTTAATTATACATTGTATTTACTGAAGAGAATACTCTAAAAATAACTTCATTTTTTGCCCGTCAAAGTAGTATGATCCGTTAATAGGTTGACTACCACAGTGAAAAAGGTCCTGCATAGCCAGACACGATCTATTTCGTTTCAAAGTCATAAATCATGTTCTAAATCATGTATTAAATCAAGCTTTGTAACGGTATTTAAATAATACAGCATCTTTGAAATTTGGGTCACCCATATTTGGAACCCAAAATTAACCCAAAAATCTCGTTTTCAGAAAAACGCGTTTAAAGTTTGACTTGAAGTTATTTATATAAGCAAAATGCTCTGTATCTTTGTAAATTCTTCAAATATCGATTTCAAATTTTCAGATCGTGTTTGCGAGGAGATAAAACTTATTCAAATGCATTTGAAAAAAATCAATTTGTTTCTAAATTTCACAGTGATGTTTACCCGTAACACGTAACATATTGACTGCCACAGTGAAAAGGGGCGTACGTAACCGAAAACACTTTATTTCCTTTTTTAAGACATAAATCACGGAAAATATACGCGTTTAATTAATAGAACCTGTTAGTCTTGTTTAGCAGCTCTGTTATTAGTAGCTCCATCAAAAATGTTTTTATCAGGTATAGCATCGTTTCAAGAGAGCAGTTTTTTGTCAACTCTTTTATTTTCATGATTTTTCAAGGTCACCTTCAATTTTTTGCAAATACACCAATAATTTTTTTACGCTTAACACATGTTACGTTATGATACTTACCGAATTCGTTTTGAAATCCTCCAACAGATAGGCGTAGAAAATTTATAGGTATATTTGCAAAAAATTGAAGGTGACCTTGAGAAATCATGCAAAAAAAGAGTTAACAAAAAATTTGCTATACTCACATTAAAGCTTTCTTAAAACCATGCTATACATGATAAAAACATTTTCGATGGGACTGCTAATAACAGAGTAATCTCTACTGATCACGATTTGTGGTTCACCCTGTATAGCGTGATTCTGGCTCTGACCTCTTGCTTGCAGTCTTGGCACGATTGTCTGCAACTTCATTACCAACTATCCCTATGTGAGAAGGATCCTAATAAACTTTATAAGAGACTTGGGATTATTTCCCAGAATTTCTCTATATAATTTTGTTGTATCTAGTATGTAATTAGTAATCTTTATATTTATTTTCGTTAAGTTCAGGCTTCGTAAACCGCTCAAAGAATCGGAAAATATAAAAAAGTTTTATTTTTGGTTTTGTTGTATGATGTTAATAACATCATAGGGAGCTATGCATTCGGCTGTATAAACGGAAGCAGTTTTATCAATTATTCTTTTGATTTCTACATTAAGAACTGGACAGATACATGCAGAGTCGACGTAGGAATCAGTAATTTTGCTGTCGTCTGTGTATATGTATAACGTAAGCGTTATATCGTGATATGTATTCTTGTATTATTTTGTTAGGATCATTCGCATCTCCAAGCTCGTAATACATTGAATCTCGTAGTACAGATACAACTCGGACATCATGCTATTAGCGAAACAGTAGGGATCTTTCATCTTTAATTTTATTATTTATTCAAAGGCTTTGAATAAAACCCCGAATAACTTTCGGCAGCGTGGTCATTTGAGTCATGATATCTGAGTTGTATCTGACTGCGTGACGCAATATATTACAAATAAAATCAATTTGAAAATTAATGAAACTTTGACATCATTTTTCAAAAGAACGGTTAAGTTCCCACTTATGGTTCCTTTCAGACTTTTAATCCTCACGACGAGTAGAAAACAAATAAAATCAATTTGAAAATTAATGAAACTTTGACATCATTTTTTAAAAGAACGGTTAAGTTCCCACTTATGGTTCCTTTCAGACTTTTAATCCTCACGACGAGTAGAATGTAATACAACGATAAAAGCAACTTGACCTTCAAATTCAAAGTCAAGGTCAATTTTGCAGCAACGTTCTTACCTCAATTTCCAACAAATCGAAAGTGTAGAATCCAGCTATGGTAGCAGCGCGACATGTAATTTCTTGACAGCCTGTCACTGATCTGTATACAGGGTGGGCCAATAATTATGTCCACTTTGAATATTGCTGTTATTTGTAATAATATGAAAAAATGTTATATACAAAACTTACACGGTATAGAGGGAGGTCATATTGTGACAAACATTTCCTGCGTGGGTGAAGGCATAGAGGAGATTTCCAGGTCATCCCTATTTTTTTTAATGGAATGCTATGTTTTTTTTATCGCAATGTGATAGCCGGTGTTGAGAAGACTTCAGCGAGATATCATTGAAGGTCATGCAAGGTCAAATGTGGTAGTAAAATAAACTTTCTTAGACTATAGGAGGTGCTCGAAGTGGCGACCGTTTGCGTCAATGCAAAGTTTCAATCTTCATATCGCTGCATCACGTGCATGTTTTATCGTTTCTGAACTTATTCCAGCACATGTTGCAATTATGATGCAGCGATAGGAAGATCGCAACTTTGCATTGACGCAAACGGTCGCCACTTCGAGCACCTCCTATAGTCTAAGAAAGTTTATTTTACTACCACATTTGACCTTGCATGACCTTCAATGATAGCTCGCTGAAGTCCTCTCAAAACCGGCTATCACATCGCGGTAAAAAAAACATAGCATTCCATTAAAAAAAATAGAGATGACCTTGAACTCTCCTCTATGCCTTCACCCACGCAGAAAATGTTTGTGCCACAATATGCCTCCCTCTATACCATGTAAGTTTTGTATATAACATTTTTTCATATTATTACAAATAATGGCAATATTCAAGGTGGACATAGTTACTGCCCCACCCTGTATATGGATACGGAATGAGATATATGGGATTGTTGCATTTTGAAGGTAAGCCATCTTTGAGAATAAAGCAACTTCGCCGCCTACATAGATTAACGGTAACTAACGCTTTCCATTCACAATTATACCTATTTGCATATATTATAGTATACTATATACTATCAGTACTTGTCTCATCTAAATTTCTGACTGATTTATCGTTCACACCTTATGTTCTTTATATGCAAGAAACAAGTACATACATATACTTTGTATTACTCTACAAATTATACGAGGAAGCATACATGTGAATGGAAAGCATTAGTTACCGTTAATCTATGTAGGCGGCGAAGGTGGTTTATTCTCAAAGATGGCGTACCTTCAAAATGCAGCAACCCATGTTATGCTTAGAAGCCCCCACCCCGTATCCATATATACAGATCAATACAGCCTGTACAAAAAACTTTCACTTGCCCACTCACCTTTTCATTATGCTTCACAAACGTGGGCAGATTAACGACACTTCGGAACTTAATATCCCCATTCGCCGCGTGTGGATCCTCCGTGGTGGTGCTTAATATCTGCAACAAATACTCTGGCGCGTGACCGTTCTTCAACATTTTCCTAAGCTCCTCGACCCCGGGAAAATCGTCCACAGGACTATCCGTGGACCTGTCGCATTCGGTGATGGACTTTTTTGGTGTCTGCCCGTTCTGCTTCTGTTGTTCCAGTATCCACCATTTCGGATCGCGCATCACCGTGCCGCAGACGATCATGTTGAAAAACGTGCCGGCCAGCAGCAAACAGGTGCCGCGCCATCCGTACTCCTCGATGAAGAACGTGGTCATCGGCGCGTATACGAACGTGCCGATACCGGTGCCGCATGCACCCAGACCTACAGCTAACGTTCGCTTCTTGTCGAACCAGTAAGCGATGCTCACGACCGCAGTGACGTAGCACAAACCCAGACCGAGACCCGCTACGACTCCGAACGTCAAGTACATTACCTCGATGGTGTTGCTGAAGCAGCTCAGCACGAAACCGATACCAGATATCAGACCGCCGATGATGGTCATGCTCCTGCATCCGTAACGATCGACCAGCGCAGACATTACCGGGCCAGATAGTAGAGGCACCGCCATGAACAGGGAGCCGATCCAAGCGGTCTTCGATTTCGACGCGCCGAATTCGTGAAGGAACTCGATGTACAACAGTCCGAAACTGAACGACACCCCGTCCGCTATCATCGATATAATCAACGAGGCCAACACGACCACCCAACCCCAACCGCCGTCCGGGACTTTTGGTTTGCCTTCTCGATCTTTGCCCATCGACAATTCATCCTCCAAATCCAGAACGCTGTCCGAATCGATGGAATCGCGTGTGTCGTCGTCTGTGTAACCAGGATTCGAAGTGATTATCGCCCTCGTGACGGAATACTTCCCAAGTTTCTCGTCGTCGGTCCTCTCGAGCGGATGTGTATCGAGGGAGTCCAAGTCGCTTTTATTGGTAGGGCTCGGGCCTATCGTAAGATTCGGCGAGGTTAGGTAGCTACGATCGATAGGCGTGGGAGGTACCCTGTCCTCGGTGCAATCGGTCCCAGGGCTGAGCAAATCGATCTTATCCTCCAAATCATCGCCCAGACTGAAATCCTTGCTCCTGCCGATGTCGGGCGAAGTGGTCAGAAAAGTATCCTTGTCGGGTGACAGAGATTCCACGCTTCTGTCGATGGTGCGAGCTGGCGTGGACTGAAGGAGCCTCTCGTCGGCCAGACTGCTGAGATCCTCGGTGTTGCCGGAGTCCTGACAGATACCCGAACTCCTCGTGGACGAGGCGATGCTTTGCGACCGGGACAAGAGGATCTCGTCGAATCCGTCCGGTTCCGGTGTATGACACGGTGTGCTCGGAAACACCGTTGGACTTCCATTTTGCCAGCCAACTATCGGCGCCCTTCTCGGTTGACGATTATTCGAATTCGTTTGATCCTTCTGATAGTCCGATCTTTGACTGTGATTCTGAACCCTTGTACTGGTTAATCCGTCCCTTTTGATCGCATTCGCGGAACCATTGCCGCGAATGTCGTTGTTGTTGTTCCAACTGCACGGAGGCTTTAACGATACTGGTTGCCCGTTTGATTCATTCTCTGTTTTGCATAAGACATTCTTGTTTTTGTCGGTCATGGTTCTTCTAAATATAGGTACTGGCCGAGTGGATCCAACGACGGGGCCAACCCTTCAGCCCTCCGATCTCGCTCGGGAAGGATCGTCCACGCCCCTCAGCTACCATAAGGACTTCCCAGCCGATCTTGGACGGGTCACTAAACGTCGGTCGCCTCAGCATGCACGCTCCGTCCACTCGATTATCCTGCGGAGATATTTCCATTAAGTATTGGGAAAAGGTATGGTTGTAATTAAGAGGAGTTAATGGTTGTAATTTAAGAATGAAGGATTGGAGAAGCGGGACTTGGCCGATATTTTGCGGAAACATGGATGGCCAGCTGGTGCCTTAACTCCTTAAGCGATTATGTCGTATACAGAGTTAACCACGAATCGTGATTAGTAGAGATTACTCTGTTATTAGCAGTCCAATCGAAAATGTTTTTATCAGGCATAGCATGACTTCAAGAGAGTTTTAACGTGATTATAGCAAATGTTTTGTAAACCCTTTTATTTTCATGATTTTTCAAGGTCACCTTCAATTTTTTGCAAATACACCTATAATTTTTTTACGATTATCTGTTAGAGGATTTCAAGACGAATTTCGTAAGTATCATAACATAACATGTGTTAATTTTTTTTTCATCTGGGTCGAGGAAAGATTAAAGAAATATTCGAACTGTAATGTTACAAAGAGTATCGTATGCTACGCCATTGTGAGCTCTTGCCTACTGTTTGTAAACATTTCGTTCTGTACATTGGAACACATCTAATATGATATCTACTGATCACGATTCGTGGTTCACCCTGTATGTACATATATAGGGTATTCACGGTAAATAGGACCAGCGTTTTTCTCGTAAACAGTACGTATTTCAAAAAAGTGGAAGAGGACGAACTTACAGTATATCTTATTGGCAACACAATAACCTATGTCAACTTTTTATATTTACATTATTTTTCAAGAAACGAAGGTGACGTAGTTTTTTTAAATAAAATATTATGTTTCTTAATGTCATTTGAAAGCGTGAGTCTAGACGAATTCACTCATATGTAACACAATGACTGCTAAGGTCATACAAGATTAGAAATAAGAGGACCACATATGAATTTTTTGTATGGAGTAATATTAAAGATATTATTTATAATAAATCGCCCAGAGATTTAAAGGAGATACAAAATAAAATAACGCATGTGCATCCATATCCAGTGCAACATTAGCACAAAGTACTAGGAGTGTAATCAACAGCGCTCCGAAATACATTCTTGCTAATGGAAGTCATACTGAACACGATATGTAGTCTTACCCATTCGTAGTCGCAACATACTAGTAAATACAATGTTATGAAATATTCAATCTAGATATTTCTTTTATTTCTGATCTTGTATGACCTTGAGTCATTGTATTACATACTATACATATATCTTACATATTAAAAATGTTTTTTAAAAATGACTTTTTCTTGAGCTTCAAATCATTGAAATTTCAATTTTCTCTTGTATTGTCACATTCATTCGTTACAAAGATCAGCACAATTAATTATCATTAAATAAAAACTAAGTACTTATGTAACAATGAATTGGCAGCATGAAAAATATCTGAAAATGTTCATATCAGAGTAAATACATAACTTAAGAACCATAGAAAAAAATATTTATATGTGTAATCATGTAAACTTTATCGTAACTGTTAAAGGAGAGAATTTTTATTTGCAAATCATATAATAAATAATTTTCTTCAGATACTTATAACAAATAATATTTATTCTTATTTTTTTAGATAACCAAAACGTAATTTGTGTATCTAATAAATTCATTGAAAAAGTTCGACTACACTTTCGATTAAAGTTCGAAGAAACATTTCAAATACATACTAGGTCATACAACATCTCATACCACAATGTGCAACTTACAAATTTTTAGAATCTAGCTTTTGATTTTATTCGAATGAGTTAAGTAAAATATACGTCTAACCACGAATACCTCTAGTCTACTTAAATTCCATTTCTCACTACATTGAACGTTTTACGATAGAAAACAAACTACTGAATTCCATAAAGTAAAAATAAAGGTAGGTAACGGTGTAATCAAAATAGTTTCTCAAAATTCTATTTAAAATGTGAAACCAAATACTTACGTATTCCATAATGGATCACACGAAACTTATATCACAGAATGCAGAATATAAAGGTGTCTCAGAAAAATAAGTCGAAAGGGAAGAATACATTTCTTAAGCTTAACACTAGAACTACCGACGATAAACGCATATTTGCTTGGAACGGTGGATAAATATGAAAAACTTTTGAAAATTTAGAAATTTAGAAATTGACTAATTTCTTCAATTTCATATCGTAATAAAGGGTGCAAAAGATCTGAGAAATGTATTGTCATAACATTTTAATCGTCGTTGTAAGAGTGTATTGACACGTCATTTTGAGTTGCTTGGTAGTTCTAGTGTTAAGATTTCGTTTTTGAGAAAACTAGGTTGGAACATTCATGTAAAACGCATTCGTGCTGGTAATAAGTAGAAATAGCCTACAATGAACGGGCACATTAGCCAAGTCCTATTCTATTGACCGTGTATCCAACAAATTTTCAAGTTCGATTATCTCGAAAACGAAGCATCACCCGAAAAAATTTTTTCTTTTTTTCGACTCCTTTTTTCCTGTAGAATCACCTGCCCGGTTTTACTACCCAACCTAAGACACTCCATATAAGACTATTAAATATTCTGCAGGATAGTGCAATTTTGATTATACAATTGCATTTGACTGGATTCCCTGTACGCAAATACAATAACTGTCATCAGGTAGTTTAAACAATAAGTACTTTGTAGAAACGTTTGCAAAAATCATGCATTTAGAATATCGCGAAATGGTGACTAGATTAATTGATATATTGTATTATATTAGATTAGTGCAAAAACTGTGCCGTATACGAAAAGTGGAATTAAAAATAAAGTTACGTAATTTCAAAACAATTTTGATTGATCAAAGTTATCAACGGTAGTTACAGGTACTTTGTAAATAGTATTTAAACAAAGTAAACCGAATAAATTAAAATTATAATTAAGATAAGTAAAACCTTGTATGCTTGAAGTCCATGAACTTTTGTGTTACATTTTCGATAGATACGTTTTATAGATGCGCAATTAACTGTCCAGAACTATAATATGGAGAAGATTTCAATATCGACTTCGAACCAATTGAACATGAACTATGAACTTGAATTAAATCTAAATTAAAATTGAAATTTCGATGACGAGTTCGACTAACCAAAATAGAGATTTTAATAAATTTACTAAATTCTTGATAATTTCTTATTTTTGAAAGTGATGCTAGTCCATTCGCTGTTATCAAAAACACGGGTTTACTTGCAGAATATTTATAAACATGATCGCATGATAAAACTGTTATAAATATGTCTGAAATCTTAAAAGCAAAAAACTTTATTAGCATTTAACAATATTTTTAAATAGGATAAAATGCAAACCATTAAATATCTCGAAATAAATAAAAGTGGTCTTATACTACTTTTTAAAAAACGGTTCATACAAAGAAGATGGTTTTAAAAAAGTTTCCATTGTAATAAAATCGATTAAGTGATGTACTTACGTATGCAGTGACTATAATAGTTCACAAAAGAATCGATATTAAATTGGAGAGATGTTACAAAGCGTCAGACATTCAACACAATCATGCACGAATAATACGAATAAATAATACAAAGAAATATAAAATACACCTATAATAACAGGACACTGAAATCACGAAAAGCAACTATGATTAGAAAAAAAAAATAAAATCTACTCACCATGGAGGTAATGCAAAAATGACTGATTTCCAAGAGCACATGCGTGTCTAGATGTAGGAGTGTGCATGCGACACTGAACGACGTGAGCAAATAAAAAAAAATCGATAAAAGAAAAGGGAGACGGATCTGTAACAATTCAGGCTATATTTAGCTGAGCATGCGAGTCAATTAGGTAACCAGAACAGCTGTAATGAAAAAAAAAAGTTATTCACTGTGGAATCTGCAAAGAGTAAACAATCCTGAAATAATGTATGTTTACAAAAATATAAAAAAAAATCATTTTACTTATTTTATTAAATGTCATTTTATGTCATTTTCATGTTACCTATTTTATTAAATTATTTATTATTTGTAATGGAATAATTAGACGACAATTTGGATATTTTAATTTATAAGTAACAGGAATAATATTTGCACATTTGAAATGGGTTTGCACCATAATCAAAAAGCTGCTTTCGTATTTCGTTGTTCTAAGAACATACATCACGGTTAAACTGCAAATGTGAAAGTTACCAACGAGTGTACACTTTTTTAATACAATAATTATGTTATTATTAAAGATTACATATACAGTTAATTTGATTGAATTCTGTTCGTCAAAAATTTTCATGATGATCAGAAAATTTTTTATTATTATTCTTACTAGTCCCAGTTTTACATATAATAATCGATTTGCGGCCGCCCCTGAGTTTGTTCTATGTTGTAATGTTATAATTTCTGACTAGCACAACAAAAAAAGTAGATCATATTTAATTTACTAATAACGATTGATTATCATCTATTTGAATATTGGCAATTTCATATAGTACAATTTAATAATTATTTAATGTCGTAGAAGCCTTCGATGCTCTTCAGCCTACTGTAACTACGTGATCAATTGCATGCATACGGATATTAGTATAATTCTAATATTTCATAAGTTCAAAATTTTAGAATTGTCGTTCCATAAAATTTGGAAATTCTGTACTCGGGAAATTTTGTAATTTTAGAACTTTGAAATTTCGGAATTTTTAAATATCGTAATACTGGATAATAATTTCGAAATTTGTGGAAATTCTGGGATACTTGTATAGTGAGAATCTGAAACCTTTTGAACGTTGAATACTGGAATACTTCAATTTCGAAATTCTTGCAACTTTGAACTACCTGAAAGTTTGAAATACTTGAATTCTGAAGTACTCGAAGTTTAGAATTTTTATTTTCTGGAATTTTATATCTTGGAAATGTATTGTATTCGTTTCTGTTGTTTTTTCTTTTGCAAATGTAAGATGCTGCAACATTTATATAACGAATTTCTAGAAATTTAACATAGAGGCTTTTTGTAACGTTAGAATTCTGAAACTTCGAAACACTCAAATTTTTAAACCTTTGAATTATTGTAATACTCTGTAATATTATAATTTTGAAATTTCGATA